CCCCACCCCACCTCGAGATGGCCCCCCCCCCAGGGCAGAGCTACCTCTGTCCCCCACCCCACCCCCCAAGGAACAAAACAGTGTTTATTTCATCCCACCTACCCCCAGCCGGGAGAATAACCAACAAAAGAGACAAAAACTACGTTATCGTCAACATTTTACTTAACTCACTTCAAAAAACTGCAAACTGACAAATGACTATAAACGTTCACAATGATGGCTGCTGTAAACACGCAGGATGATATTGCCACACCCATGATATCAAAACCAACCCCCTTAAAAGTTACCAAGCCCGGCACGCTGTGCTAGGCGGGACTGGGGGTGTATTGGCTCCCTAGAAACGTCATTGATTTTGTGACTACTGACTTCACATTATTATTTGGCAAAAAAGGGCAGGGTGGTATCATCTGTCTTAAAATGCTTTAAAGTCATGAAATTCTAAACTAATGAAGTCTAGAGATGGTGCAACTTTAGTGGGAACTAGATGCTTTCACAGTGGATATGCTGGTCTACAGAAAGTGTCAGTGGAGCAAATTTACACGTTTTCACAAGTTACTAAAGATCTTGGAAACTGCCAGAGAGCCATTAAAATGTAAAATCACGCGATTCCCCCAAGTCTCACATTGTTCACAAAACCAGGTGAACTCTGCTCCCAGTGGGGGCTACAAACCTGATTTGGCATTAGGTGGAGTTACAAATTTACACTTTTGGTGGGGACCATAGCACAGAGGTCCCTGCATTTTAACCAAAGAAGAAAAAGCAACCTGTTTAAAAGTAGCTTATTAATGTGGGGCATAGCATCTGTTAATGCTACTAGAACTTAACAGGCCCTGCTCCAAAAGAATGTTAAAAAGTTAACAGATGCTATTTTCAAACATTTACTGCTGCAGAGGATTCTGCATTTCCATCCTTAGGAAGCAGCAGCACTTTAGAAGATTTTAGTTATTTATTTATGTGTGGGGGAGGGGGAGAGACTGGCCCGGTCAGGAGTATTCCAAAGAATTATATTTAAGCAGCCCGAGTATCACTTGTGCCACAGCTGAGAACAGACATCCCCGTTTGTTACAATAGGTTAGCTCTCCCTTTCTGCACTGCAGCAAAGAAAGCACTTTGACCTAGAGGTGCTCATCACTCATCCATAGTTATATATCAGTTGGAGGGGTTCTGCTACAAAAGTCATTTTCTTCAGCACAGAACATTAAAGAAAAAATGTCCCCCTAAGTCTGCAGAAGGTGTTGGTTTTCTATCTGGCCCTACGAGAGAAAAGACATGTAGACTGCCACTAGTAAAGACAAAATATCCTGGGACCAACACTGCTACAACACCCTATACTAGTAAAGACATAACTCATAAGAATTTTCAGAGATTTAAGTGGAGTACGGCATTCTTCTTCAGCCTTAAAAGCCATGGTGGTAACTACACAATGGACAAGGAAGACTGAAATGAGTATGGAAATATGGATCCAAAAACTCACAACATGGTGTGTATGAAGCTTCGTTTTGGAGCCTGCGCTGGCAAAAGGAGTGGGAATAGTCTGGGGAAACCTACACTGCTCATCATGGATTGGTTTATGTTCTCCTTTTGACAGCCCCCATAAAGAGGCTAGTAACTTCTAAATAGGAACAATGAAGTATAGAGAAGCAAAGTTACTTGCCCGGTGGCAGAGAAGGCCATCCGCAGGAGATCCGTGCTCAGAACACCAGGGTCCTAGCTCTGCTTGTACCACAACACTCCCCCATAACGCACAGCCTTTTTGGGGGGTTGGGGTCAAAGGAATGGCTGAAGAAACGAGTCTGTGATACAGGAAGTGTTGTTAGTACTTCAGGGAATAAACTGGGTGTTCACAGACTCTTAAATCGCTAGTGGACGCATCTGAAAATAGACTAATCATTAGCACTGAGCATTGTTTTTTCAGTTCTAGTTTTGATTATGCTGATTGCTTACAAAGAGATGCAATTAAACAGGGATGTTTCAGAGAACACCACCACTCTAGATTTATATTGACTTGTTTTACCCTGATTTGATACAATTAATCAATCTATCCTGTTGTCTAATAAAGCCCACTGAGTTTAGAGCACTTCCTCTGACTTGGGGAGCTGCAAATTTTGTTTTAAAGTACTTAGGGTCACCAGAACTTCTGAACAGTTTTACAGCATGGTATTAACACCAATGTGGAGTGTAAAAGGCTGATTTCATACAAGGTTTGTTCTTCCTCACAGCAGAGAAGAGGAAACAGTAGGAAAAAGGCAAGATATCACATAAGAGTTAAATACTTTTTCCAGGTTTAAAAAAAAAGTCAACTTGTCATGTTGTACCTGAAGTTTGAACCTCTGGTGCTGTAAGTTACTCATGCAATAGTTGTACAGTTTGGCACATTGAGAATCCATTTTCTTCAAACAATCTGTAAGACATTAAGTCTTATGACAAAGTTCATTTCAGTGTTTGCAAAGTGCTCACATAGGGCTTCTGTTTAACAAAACTATGGCATGCAAGTTTGCACTAGGGCTTTACTAAAGATATGCATGCCTGGGCTGACATTCCAGAATGCTCGGTTCCAGAATCTAGTGCTTCACATTGTAAGAGGCAGCTCCTCCTCCCTATATCACAGGCCTCTCAACCCCCAAGTGAGACCGACAACCTGTCCAGCGTGACAGATTGAGATCTGCTCTCTACACCCATTCCATGCCCTTGGTGAAAGGCAGTTCCAGTAACATGGTAGTTTCCTGCAATATGCTCCTCTTACGTTAAAGAATGATTCCCAGAAATTCCCTTACCAATAAGAATTAAAATGTCACTAGATCAGCTGAGGAGGACACCATCAGAGCCTTGTAGGTGGGCAGAATGACTATACTAAGTAGATTTTAGAATCTAGTCCCAGGTTAATGGTTTCAAACAATTTAAAGTGCTAGTTAGTGGCTCATTTAGTTATTGCTCCCAAGTGATATGGGGCAGATTCTAATCTTTTGCATGTATTAACGTAGCCTGCAAGCCAAGAAAAAATGGCCATTTACTGACATGAAAGCTGCAGGCAGTGACAGGAGACTCCTGAGAAGGCAGCCTACACAGAGCACTTTCTGTAGTCATATCCATGGTACTGGAATAATCCCAGCCACCCTGGATACCACAGCACTGAAGCAGAGGCAGCCAGAAGCAGGTCTGATAGTAGGTAAAGGGCACGGATTCCTTTCGAAGCTCCGTGATCAAGATCTTTGTATTTTTAATGAGAAGTTTAACACTGTAGAATAGCCAAGTACACACAGTGTCCAAATTAACCCAATTAAGGATCAGGGGTTGGAGCGATTTCTATATTTTGTTTTCAATGCCAATTTAGGCCCAGGTCCATTTTGGTTATTATGAGGTGCCCTTGCTGCACCATAGCGAAGGTGGACTTTTATCCTACTGATTGATTTGATACTAAGTATGGATAAAACATCCTTAGTTTTTTTCTTATTCATAACCTAGCAAGGTCACCTAATTCCTGAATTTAAATCCAATACCAACACATGTCCAGTTTATAGCTTAGATTTCTATATGGCCATGATTTCCAGACAGGTAGTCTACATTCTGCCTAACTTTGACTTTAAAATGCACCAATGAAACGAAAGCTAGAATTGAATTGAACAAGAGAATTTCCCTGAAGAGATAAGCTATTTGCTGCACAAGTGTAATCGGTATCCATTTCTATGGCTTACAAAAGCATGGGGAAATGTAGGGACTGCATGACTCAGGCCAGTCAGTTTACAGAGCCTCCCCTTCAGGTTGCTGGCTCAAGACTAAAAGTGACCAAAATAGTCACCAGCTCCTAGTTGTTTGGTGGCTTGTGTGACATGAACTGGCGGTCTAGTGGCCAGGTGTCCTCACCGCACAAGGCTGGGCAATGTCACAGAGGCCAAGAACTGAATGGGCCATGGAGACGGAATCCCCTCCACCCCCCCAGGCAGGAGGAGTTCCAGGGCATGGAATGTAGTATTGCGGTTGCCCAGGCGGTAGCTGCTCTAGAGTCAAGTGGGAGAATTTAGTTCTGCGGCGTGTCAATCCAGCACTAAGCCCCTTCCTTTCAGAAAGGCAATGCAATCGCCGGTGCTGCACAGCTGCTCCCCGAAGGACTGGGACCAGCACAGTAGATGAGTTATTGCCATTATGACTTTTATAAACTAGCGTCACTGGAAAGCTTGGGTTTTGATGGGAGCAATAGGAATTCTGTCATTACTTGTGAGGAAACTGCTTTTGCCATTAGAGTGTTTGTTTCTACCCAAGACAGCTGGATACTGCTGAGGGAGGACGGAGAAAAGTCAGTTGTTTTTATGCGTGACTTAGGAGTAGGGAATTTTGGTTTTAAAGTTAAAATAGCATAATCCAGGTTTCTAAGAGGAAGCCAGTCCTGTTCACCTTCTGCTGAGTGTCTGCCTGCTAGAGACTGGGCTGGTGCCAGAACATTCCTAACGGAGACTGAGGTCGGTCTGCCAAGGGGCACTAGAACTGCAGACACACTCAGCAGTTACTGTTTCAAGTGAGCAGGTTTGGTTTAGGGCAAGGAGTGTCACAATAGACAATGCAGAGTGATGTGTGGATGCTACTGGGGCTATCGCATCAAAAGCCTCTGCCCTGTGAATGACCAAAGCATGGTTTATTTTGAAATCCAAGCTAGCCCCACAAATTCACAGCACAGTGATGTACCCAGCCAGGATTGGTTGCCATACTACTTGTACCCACAGGAGACCATTTAGATTACTGTACAACGCTTTTTCTTCTGAAGATTCCCCTCGGCTACTCATGACAGAAAAATCAGAAGGAAAGGAAGTGTGATTGCTTACTGGCCTCGCGAGCCAGCTGGGTCCAGCTCGGACTGATCCAACAGTTCAAAGTCATCCCCTTCTGCGTCAGTGTCCAAGTCAGAGCTGGAGGTTCTAAGATAGGTTTTTGTGCCTCTCTGGGGATTGTCACTGTATACAGGGCCTGGCTCAGAGGCTCCTGACAAGGCTAATTGTATCATGCCTCTGGTGACAAATCCAGCTAAGTTATTTGTAAGATTGTGTGCAGAGGGCAGCGCCCCTAGTAGGAGCGCAGGGACAGCTTCTTCTTGGTCATACGGGGGACGTAGCTCTTCCATGCCCTGCGAGCGGTAAGCAAGGCTGGGAATCCCAATGCTGGTGTCATCTTCATCATCTATTCCAGTCACCTCTGGATTTATGGAAGGGAAGTCAGGGAGATCCCTGGCAAAAGATTCTTCAGGGTCACTGTGACCATCAAGATCTAGAAGGGAACAAGAAACAGCTGTAAGCTTATAGCATGGACTATCCAAACCCATCAGGCAAGTGCCACAGACAGTGTCATACTGATCCCCTGCAGAGTTCCGCCATCTTTGATGAAAGAAACCAGCATCCTGGTCCCCAAACACACCACCCGCTTGTCTCCTCTGACCAAGCTACACTTAGTGTCACGTTCCTTTGGCAGGCACGACAGACAAAAGTTGATTTCTTATCCAAGAGAGTGAGGATACTGCAGGGGACAGCTAGTGCGGAGAGAAAGCATGTCCTCCCAGGCTTCTTTCACCGTCAGCCAGCAGAGGGTGCTCAGATGTTGAACCCTCTGAGATTAAGGGCTCGGCTATATGGGTATATTGCAATGGTTTTACTATAGGGGTTACATTTTGAACTCATTTAACTAAATTGGTACAAACCCCTGTGTGGACACTCATCTCGGTTTAAACCAGGCTTACTTTGGTTTCTCTCAAATTAATTAGGAACTGATTAAGGTAAACCAGAATAAGCATCTACCCAGGAATTTGCATGGGTTTAATTGCCTTAGTTTAAAAGGACCCCTTTAGTTAAACCAGTGCAATGTTTCCACACTGAAAAGGCTTAGATCATCTGTGTGCCTGCCCTGGCAGACCCTTTCTAGTCAGACCATCTCGCAGAAGGCCTAGTCTGACAGCTCACATTCCCTCTTTGGGTAGCTGTAAACAGAATAGGAATATTCCTTAAAGCAGAGAATTAGCTGCCTCCATTCACTAATGGCGTGAATAGGAAACGTGCTAACGCCGTCACTTTGTACCAGCATCAGGTTATGTTGCTCTTCCCAAGCACTCTGTGCCATATCTAGGCACCATATGTGGAAACTGGATCTATTCAGACAGGACAGTGAGCTCTTCATCCCGTGGCAGGTGGCAGGTGAACATTATACACCAGAGCTCAATTCTCAGGGAATGCATCTGGTCTATTTTCCTCATTTCAGGGTGGTGGATGCTGAGGAGGGAAGAGTACAGTCCCTTTGCCTTTAGGAGGCTGTTTCTTCTCTCTCACCTTCAGATCCCTCAGTCAGTGGAGTTTGTCCCCTTGACAGGTTAAACGTCCCATTCTCAGTGTAGGAAACTTCAGCATCTGAATGCTCAGAGTCGGAGATAGTCAGTTCCTTAGCAACTACAGAGTCATCCAGCTTTGAAGCAGAGAAGAAAACACAGTTAGAAGAACATCAGCGCTACTGGCTCAGATGGTTTCTGTGCTCCAAGCTAGAAAGATTCTGATGACCCAGCATGACAGGCTCTCACATGAGACTGGCTTGCTGCTTTGCTACCCCATGGCGGGTGAAGGAGGGGGTGTGGGGTGCTGGCTCCACACTGCTCCACAATACCCCGATGGCCAATCCAGGTGCAACATCTGGCTTTAGACAGGATTCAGAGCAGGGGTGTGGAAAAGGTAATGGATGTCCTTTGGGAGTTGGGTCCTTCAGACGGAAGGACTGGAAAGTTCAAGCTTTTAAGATACACAGATAAGATGTGGCTTTAATTAAGTGGGCTGGGAGCACTGCAGCCAGACTAATCTCGGAGCACAAAGGCTTGACAGGGTATGAAAGCCTGCAGCCAGACCCTGCCCAGATATTCCTCTCCACCTGATACCCTAGGCTTGAGGCCAGAGAGCATTCCAAGGCTGCAGTTTTATCACAAACCTGATTCAGACACACCAAAGCCATCAATGCACTGGAGGCTTTCTTGCTTGATTTTGAAATTTGCAGAGATGCCTGGTTACCTTGGGACAGAACGCAGCAAGTTCTTCTTCACTGTCAGTCCCAGCATCAGGCGGCTCCTGGTTCGGCGCTCGCTGGCGCACTGCCATGAGTCAAAGCAGAAATCTCCCATTATTGCCAGGGCAGACAAGGCAACATTTAAGCATAACATTAGGCACAGCAGAAAGTCACTTCAAATGTAGCCCAAAGGGTGTCAATCTATCACAGCTCAAAAAGCCGTTGTGTAAACATGGGCTCTCTAGTTTCTGGATTGGGCTGTTGCAGATCTAGTGCCACATGGAACATGCTGAGCAGCAATCTCACATTGGAGAGAGATGCTACAGGCACAAATCAGCCTTCACCAAGCAGCGCTTAGTGCCCCTGTGTTCCCATGGCTGAGAAAGGGGAACGGCTGGGAGCCATGGGAATTTGTAGAAAGCTCTCATCTGAAGCAGGGACCCAGTCTAGTTGCCCAGCTTCATCTCTGTGGAGGGGCTGCGAATATTTGACAAGAGGACTCGAAAAGAATGCTGTACTACCCATGCGGTTGCTGTCACGCCCTATGATTGGGGATTCATGTCAGCAACTGTTTGTCGATTTCAAGGGCCGGCTGTTTGTCTGGCTATTTTCAGACACTCTTGGAGTCTTACATTGCTTCACTCGTTGCTTTGACATCATGTAGCCTCGAACGCTGAAATCCAACCGCTGCAGAGCTGGCTCCAGCTTCATGTACATGCGCTGCCCCAGTCTGTGGTACACGACGAGAGGCCACAGCAGGATGAAGAGCACTGAGGTAAATGGGGAGGCTGGTTAGAAACTGGCCTGTGCTACTTAACAGATCTGTCAATCAAGTGTTTTGGGATGCAGTATAAAGATTCAAGACTCAGTTTTGCTGTGCTGTATGCACACAATCCAATGCGTCAGAAGCTAGGTAGAGAGCAGTGCAGATCTGTGCCGATTTACTAGAACTAAGATAGCAACCAACATGCTAGAGCATTTATCTGCCTAGACAGACATGCACCTAGAGCCTGTTTGGGGCTAGCTGGCCAATCTGTCCCAACACTAACATTCTAGCACAAGAGCAAGGGCATTTTACATTCTATTTGTCAGAACGTTAGCCGTTCATATCTGCATCTTTGAGTCTACGTTAGCGATACTGCCCCAGCGCTCTGTATACAACCCCTGGTTTGACTGAGGAATATTGTACTTACGCATAAGGTATGAGAGCAAGAGCCCAGGAATGTATCGGCCCAGAACAGCCAAGAATGTAAAGACTCCACACACTACAAGGCAAAACTGGAGGCACAGGAGAAAGCATGAGTTTCCATAGCATTAAAATAATGGAATCAGGTGACTTCAGCTGGTGTAACTGGTTTGTTTTCTAGAGAGTTCCAGCCAAGAAACAACAGATCAAATATCAGCAACACTGTTTGGATACTCCTGTCTTCTTAGGCAATCCTATTTCATTAGGAGAGGTACCAACACAGTCTCATTTTAAGAGGTTTTGTCTATCATCCCAAGACACCTTGGCAATTTAAAGGGAACTTAAGTTACTGCTCACTGCTGTAGGCAGGGTAGGATTCTATGGTGTCTGTGCTGACAAGCAGATGTAAGGTTGTGGGAGACGGTTCCCTCCAAAGGAGGGAGTAGGGGCATGTTTCATGAGGCTGTGATCACAGTAATAAGCATCTAAGTATTCAGCCTCTTCATACTACCCATACAGTCGCAGTTGTCACTAGGCTAATACTGGTTCTATAGGACTTGAGGGGAAAAAAAGATTCTCAACCACTTTCTGGTTTGGTTTTTAAGTTATTAAAAGCCAGACTCAGAGAAAGAACTGTGAGGTTAATAGCAGACACTTCAGATCAATACCCACAGAGGGAACAGCAACATTTACTGCTAAATAAAACAAAATGAAATAAACAAGCAAAGTTGCCACCTCCCCGCCCTGCTCACTCCTACGTTCGATCCCTTCCCACCTCCCCGTCCCGTTCACTTGTACGCTTGATCCCTTCCCACCTCCCTTTTTCAAAATGGGAGCTCTTCAGGACAGGTAGGGTGACCAGACAGCAAATGTGAAAAATCGGGACGGGGGTGGGAGGTAATAAGCGCCTATATAAGAAAAAGCCCTGAATATCGGGACTGTCCCTATAAAATTGGGACATCTGGTCACCCTAAGGGCAGGGAACATCTCATGTTTGGAATACACTTACCCATTCTGGATGCTCTTGCAATACACAGAGTGGCTGTCTGCATCAAAGATTAGATGCCGAGTGTTTAGTTTGCCCAAGCAAGTGTGCTCTTACCTTGCCGGGATTTTGCCTTTTGAAAACGAAGAGATTCCTTAAGAAGGTGACCCCAGTAACCCATCCATCAGCTAAATGGTGACACAGCTCCGGCACACTCAGCAACTGAGGGTGAACATAGCCCCAGCTACAGAGAAGGCAGAATAATTAGTGAGCAGGTGTCTACTGAGCCACACGGTGTTACTAAACTGACCTTAATATAGGGCACTCTTCACTACAGAAGCATTGTTTCAAGACCACTTTCTCCCCCCTCCACCAGCTGCCCAAAGTCTGGAAGACCAGACCTAGTATTTGGAAAAATCAAATAGCTAGACCGGTATGCCATTCAATATGCACCCCATTTTTCTTTAAATTACAGACAGCTAATGATTAGCTGAGTACTGCAATTAGAATGCAAGAACTTGCAAGTTGTTGGATGTCAAAGGCAGCTGGCAGGCCTCATGTTGTGCAAACTCCCATAGCAATCACGTGCATCCGATTAGAGCACACAAGGATTTGGGGATCACTAGCACAGCTTAGAATGAGTTGCAGTGAAATGGAGGAAAGCCCTGCTTGAAGATTCAGTTACGCCTGAGGCAGGGGGATTTAGCCAGTTATTTCTTGGTGTTTACACCTCCCCACTCCCTGTAAGAATTCAGTGCCAAGTTTCTAAAGAGCCCTATGACCTAGTTGGTGGAAATTCGTTGTCACTTTTGAAAGGCTACTTTTAGCAGTGCCTGCTGGTGCTCATTAACCTTCGGTCACATGGTATCTGTGCCTTCGGAAGAGTGCTTCCTCCTGGGCCAGGTCACTTGCAAGAGACGTGCTTTGCTGACACTTGATTAGGTGGTTTTCGAACATTTGAGGAGTTTTACAATGTAACTTTTGAAAGACTGATTTGGCTATTTAGTGCACGTGAACAACAGAGCCGACAAAAAAAAGAAGCTAACAGACTGTTAGGAACCATTAGCAAAGGGATAGATAAGAAGACAGAAAATATAATGCCACTATATAAACCCATGGTACACCCACATCTTGATGTGCAGTTTTGGTCGTCCCATCTAAAAAAAGGCATTAAAATTGGAAAAGGTACAGAAAAGGGCAACAAAAATGATTAGGGGTGTAGAACAGCTTCCATCTGAGGAGAGATTTAAAAGACTGGGATAATTTAGCTTAGAAAAGAGACGACTAAGGGGAGATACGACAGGTCTATAAAATCATGAACGGTGTGAAAAAGGAAGTGTTATTTACCCCTTCATATAACACCAGAACCAGGGGTCACCCAATGAAATTAATAGGCAGCATGTTTAAAACGAACAAAATGAAGTATTTCTTTGTTCAGTCAACCTGTGGAACTCGTTGCCAGGGGACAACTGGGTTAAAAAAAGAACTAGATAAGTTCATGAAGGATAGATTCATCAATGGCTATTAGCCAAGACAGCCAGGGACAGAATCCATGGTGTGGGTGTCCCTAAACCTCTGACTGTCAGAAGCTGGGACTAGACCGCACGGGATTGACAGAAATTGCCCTGTTTATCCCCTCTGAGACATCAGGCATTGGCCACTGTTGGAAGGCAGGATACTGGGCTAGATGGACCATTGGTCTGACCCAGTCTGACCATTCCTATGTAAGCTGTGCCTGGAGAGAGGAAAGTACTGTTAGGGAGGACAAAACCCCAAGAGAGTTCTAGTTTTGTTGTTAATGCTGCACTCAGGGTCTCACTAACTACCAGGGAAGCCTGCAGCACATCCAGCTCTGGTCAGAGAAGTTTGACAAGTTTCTCGTTTCAAGAAGGGTTCTAGTCCATCACTTGCAAGGAAGCTCTCAATACACTTTAAAGGCACAACAGAAAACGTTTTTAACAGTGGGGTCTTTACAAAGCTGACGTGAACATTATCCCCATTTTACACAGGGGGCTGTGTGGGCAGGGAGAGATTCAGTGACTGGCCCAAGGTCACAACCAAAGCTTGTGGCAGAACAGAACCCCCCCACTCAACGCTTCCTCTGAAACTGAGCAGATATGACAAGCATGTGCAAAAAGTGAGTAAGTTCTGTCATCACAACAAAGTACCAACACAGCAGCAAACCAAAAAAAAAAAAGAAGAGGGATTTAATTAGCGTTCCATACCTCTCATTGTCCAATTCGTCAGATCTTGCCACTAAAATATTAAGAACAGACACTGAATTAGTTGCCAGGAATTTTGCTGTAAGAATGTTTAGCTAATGGGAGTTTAACTAAAACTTGTGTGAGGTTGAGAAACAACCAGTGTGATTGATAAAGGTAATTAACCAAAAATCTGTTGCTCTGCATCATATTCTCATAGGACAGGCTTCCCCTCTGTGTCACAACAGCTACTATTAGAGAGAGTGACTGGGTGGCTAGTCTGTTCTGCAAATCACTAATAGCTCATTTTAGTCTTAACCACAAGCAAGAACTACCAGTCCTGTTTCAACATACAGCCTACACACCTGTTACTGCACTGGGTGTGCTGAGAGATGGACAATTTGCTCATAATTTGGAGACATCCAGGAGAGCCTTACTTCCCGGACTGGGGTGGATAAGTGACCCAGGGACAGGCTAGCTTCGGGAACTGGCACAGCTCAGGGCTACTGAGGGACTTGACTATGCAACCCTCAAGATAAGTACAAACCATTAGCAGCACACAGCCACCGTAAGCCTGCCTACCTTCCAAAGAAAGCTGATGCCAGGAATCACTGCCAGCTTCTATGCCTCAGCTTGTGTTGTCTCTTGGAAGACAATATTAACGCTTATTACCTAACCTCGACTAGCTAGCCAGGGAGTTACCCCTTGGGAGCCTGCAGATCACACACCGATTTGTTTTTAGGTGGTGAATGGACTGGGCATCAAATCTCATCACGGGTTCAAGGCAAGGATGGCGGAGTTCTACGTTCGAGCTGGTGATTTACTCAACACTTTTGTATTCAAGTAACTGACAGTTCTTGAAGATTCCGCCCCTCTCAAATCTCCATAATGAGGCTGGGTCTCTGACAACCACCATTTACTACCTTACAAACACTCTGAAAACAATTTCCAGTGTGTTCAAGTGAGAAAACTAATTCAGTCCTATCCTGCAAGCTCTGATTTCTTAAATTGGAAGCTCGTTGGGGCAGACTTGTGTCTTCTGTGCAGTCAATCCATTGTGGGCACTACTGGAATATCAAAGCATGTCACTGACTGGCTCCTCAGGTAAGCCAGCCACTGCGAGGAGCCAAGATGCGGGGGTCTATGCTATGCCCCGCCCCTCTGATATAGGCACCTGCTTCTGCTTGGGATTCAAACCTGCTCTTGGCACGAGGCACCTTGTGCAAGGAGAGGAAGAGGAGAAGGACGACGACCCCCCTCAGAACTCTTAGCCAAGTGGTTAGGGCCCTCAAACTTGGGGGGGGGGTCTCCACACCCCAGATAAGTCCCCCCTCCACCTCAGGGGGGAAGGGATTTGAACTGGGATCTGCCACGTCTCAGCTAAGGGCCATAAACACTGGGCTACAGGATACTCTGATGTGGGGCTACCTCACTGTGCAAAAATCATTTTAAAAAGTCATTGGGCCAGAGAGCAACAAAACTGCCCGCACAAGCCCACAGTCAGGAGAGCGACTTGCAGCCTAGTGGGCCGAGCACTCATCCAGGACGTGGGAGACCCAGGATCCAGTCCTCCTGTTCCAACAACTTTTTACATTATTTATTCACTGTGGAACAGCTTCATTAGGAGAGGGAGAGAGCGTGCATCTCCCCTCAGGATCGCACAGCCCACAGGTTAGAGCACTCACCTGAGAGGTAGTAGACCCCTGTTCAAATTCTCTCTCCCAGAGGTGGAGGGGGGACTTGAACCAGGGGTTCTCCCACATCCCAGGTGAGCAGCCCAACCACTGGGCTAGAAGTTATGAGGGAAGCCCCCCCCACCAGCTGTTCACATTTGTGGCCTACTCTGAGGCACTTTAATGGATCAGGCTCCACAGGCAAGCTAGACAGAGGGCAGATCTCCTTTCCCCAGTTCGGGCACTGCACCGGGGCGGAGGCGTTCACAGGCCAGCATGGGACTGCAGTGCACATGCTCGGGGGCAAAAACATAGGCACCTAGCGAACTTTTACTGCAAAAGCTTAGGTGCCGAGCGAGTTTAGGCACATGCAGGGTTTGGCAGCAGCTCTGCGGGGATTTTGCAAGTCCGCGTGGGGCCTGGCTCTGGGATTTACCCGCATAAGTCCTTTTGCGAATCTAGCCCTTTGTGACTGTCCGAGACATATTTCAAGCCAAATGGTGCAGAGAAAGAGCGCATGGTGGGAAGTTGAGAAACAGGTGTCATTTTCAGGGGCGAGCTCTTACTGCTGCATCTTACCTTTAATTTCAGGCCAGATTTTATTCTTCCATTGATCTAAACAAACGATTATTATCAGGCCAAATGCGACCAAGAACACCAGCCGAAGGGAAGTCAGTGCTAAAAAACTGCAAAAAAGAAGCAGAGAAAGGATCAGCCGTGAGCACGTGGGTCTGTTTCTACTGTTGTACCAGGCCCCTCAAATTAGCACCTCTGGCTAAATGCACTGACCAACTGGGTCGGGGGAAATAAGAAAATCGCGCGTTTGGTCTTTGGGGGCAGCAGACATCTCCAATCAAAACTGGTATCAGATCCCTGGAACTGGATATTCGGCGCATATCCCAATTGATTTCTAAAATAATTTTATATTTACTTTAAAGATACCAGTTTTATCTTACTCTCTTGAATGAGCAGGGAGTACAGCAACTAACAACCGCAGCAAGGCAGTATGAGAAGAGTGATGTGTGCACCACTATAGTTAGTCTGTTGGCATTCCCACAAGCCACGCTGACATTACAGATGCCTGGCTTTGTGCACTATTCAGGATCTGGCAGATGCCTCCAATTCCCAGTCAAAGTGGTTTTTGAATTAATCAGGAATTGGGAGAGGCAAAATAATTTTATTCATGAGTGTTCTTCGTCTTGTATCCATTACACCTCGGACTAACCAGACAGCCTGGAAAAAGAATTATATGATGGAGGAAGGAGGACAAACCAGTCCTCCAGTCACCTAGCCTGGGCAGCGGGAGTGGTTGTTTTTACACCAAGTTGCCTCTAGAACCCTAAAGAAACGTTTCATGTTTGCTCAGGGTTTCTGTGCCTCAGTTTATAGCTAGTCTGATGGAGGCCATCAGTGGTCCCAAGGAACAAACTGTCACCTTCCTCCTCACTTTCTAGTTTAAAAGGTAGGTAGTTTTGAGAATTGAGGTTTTCTGCTTGCAGACGGGTCCCTCCCTACGAAACTCCTTCTCCCTACACAGAGTCCTGAACTTAATGGTGCTCATCTGGAATTGTCAGCTGCTGAAAAGACTCTAAAAAAGTAATTAACAGTTTGACACCAGTACCCCTAATTCCCATCCTCAGCTGGTGAAATAGCTCACAAGCTCAATGTCTGTCCAGTCTTCAGCTTCGCCTCAGGCTATGAACTAAGTCAGTCGAGTGGTAAGACTAGCTGAGTTTGTAGGGATTATTGCTTAATTATGACAACAGCAAGGTTCAGTACCAATGCTCTGATCTATTTTTAATCACAATCATCTGGACTGTTCAGGACACGTGTTTGTCTAGCATAAAGCACTAGCTGGTAGGGCCAAGCAAGTGACAGGTCCCATGGAGGGAATTCACAGGGCAAAGATCAGGCAAAAAGACAAGTTACATTTAGCATTAAAAAAAGTTTGTTGTGGATTGATTAAGGACAGAAAACTGATGGAATCAGAAGAAATGCTGTGTAGCTCATCTCCATATGGCTATTTTCCCACTTGTGCTCAAATAGCATGGTCAGACCATGGTACAACGCCAGTTAGAGTTTAAAATCCATAATCCATACCAGAACAAGCAGACATTCCAGTAGTTTAAGAGACTAAAGAATTAAACCCTCTACGAATTCAAAAAAGGTTAAAAAGACTGGGACTGCTCAGCTTAGAAAAGTGACGACTAAGGAGAAGGATATGACAGAGGTCTATAGAATCATGAAGAGCATGGAGAAAGTGAACCAAGAAGTCTTATTTACTCCTTCCCATAATTCAAGGACCAGGGGGTCACCCAATGAAATGAATAGGCAGCAGGTTTAAAAAACCAAACATAAGGAAGTACTTCTTCACAAAACACACAATCAGTCTTTGGATCTCACTGCCAGGGGATGTTATGAAGGCCAGAAGTAGAACTTCGTTGAAAAAAAGAATTAGATATGTTTGTGGAGGACAGTCCATCAAGCCAGAGATGCAACCAGATGCTCTGTGTCCCCCTAAACCGCTGACTGCCAGCAGCTGGGACTGCATGACAAGGGATAGATCACTCAATAACTGCCCTCATTCAATTCCCTCTGAAGTCTCTGACACTGGGCTAGACAGACCATTGGTCTGGCCTGTATGGCCATTCTTATGTTGTGTTCTGGCACTAGATTCTCCCCCCACCCCGTGATATCTTGTAAGCTGTGAATCCAGTTTTGGAAGAAAAGCAGATCATTTAAATTCCACAGCCCAAGGTTCAAATACTCAGCAGTCAATAAGTCAACATGAATAAGCCTGCATTGAAATCCATCCAGACAAATACACAGTGCAAGAAGTAGATGCACAAAGGAAAGCAACAGAAATGGTTGAATTCTGAAGATTAGATAAATGCCTAGAAGAATCAGACTGGAACATGACCAAAAATACAACAGCAGGACATACATATGCCATCCTATGCCAAACATCAGCACGTAGGAGATTTTGTTTTTGTAACAACACACACAAAGGGTCAATTATAGCCTAGCAATCATTAACTACAGCTAAGTGGGTCTACGCAGTCATTTGATTAGGAGCGCATGCTAACAGTTTATCCCTTTCCCAAATGGTGGTTTAAATCTGGAGATTATTTGTTGAAAACCCAGAGAAACAGATACTGCATAGAAGAGGTAATTTCACATAAGCCTTCCTACCAGGGCCCGGTATGAGACAAATACCACAGTTAAGTGCTGTCAAAACAAGAGCATGTGACCCTTCATAACCATAAGTGGCTGATTGTCCACTGAAAGCAGTTCCTCCTGACAGTCACAGCCTCACTGATTCCCCTCACTAAGGTCACTTCACAACTCCCTCTTGGAGACAATGCAGATGGAAATCGCAATGGAAGAGTAAAACCAAACTAACGAGGCATTTGGATACCACTGAGAAGCACCGTGCATGAAGCTATGAAGATAATTGCCTGCAGCTTAAATATCAGGGATCGTTTAAACTCCCTTGACACAGCCATGTTTTCTGTAGAAACGTCCTAACAAGAGCGTGTCCAAGAACTCCAGCAGAGTTACGGTTACATACGGAGACAACTTCTCTTTTAGGCATTTTTATATTAGAACTTTAAACCAGGGGTTCTCAAACTGGGGGTCAGGATCCCTGAGGGTCGCGAGGTTATTACATGGGGGGTCGGGAGCTGTCAACCTCCACCCCAAGCCCCGCTTTGCCTCCAGCATTTATAATGGTGTTAAATATATAAAAAAGTGTTTTTAAATGTATAAGGGCGGGGGGTCACACTCAGAGGCTTGCTGTGTGAAAGGGGTCACCAGTACAAAAGTCTGAGAACCCCTGCTTTAAACAAACATGAAGTGCAGTAGCCTCTTCACAAGACATGCATTGGGAATTACTTCCCCATTACCCTCCCAACCATCCTGTCCATTACAGTGTGCTACAGCTACTCCTGCCACTGCTACTCGCTTTGTCCACGTCAGTGTTCGGAGAATGACAATGGTACCTCCAGGCAGCGGCAACTTTGAATAATTACTTTGTCTCACTACTTCGTTCCCTGCCATACAAATGACTCCCAGTTAGTCCTTTGTGAGGCCCCCGGAGCCGGATATTGAGACTGAATTTATGAAACCATTGCAATAACCAGTCAACATAGAAGCAAGTTAATAGATTTCTTTGGGCAACAGTTCCCAGTTTTGAACAGTCACATTCTGACTCAGAAAACAAGTTACTACCCAGGACTATCAGAGTGATAACTGGGTAAAGGATTGTACAATAAAACCTCCTGAACGTGTTTTTACATGCTCATCCTCCTGCTGCCACCAGTGTAAAACTGGAGTTCAAACAGCATTGTTTTTGTAACACTGCCTGGAGATTAAACAGACTCTGAAAACTGCCAGATGAGACAGCCTTCTGATTAACAAATGAAACACCTGGAAGCCCAAGCTGATCATCAGGACACCCTGTTATACATTTCCTACTTTTTGTGAATGTTATTTCACAGTGGAGACCTTGACCCAAACGTTATGTGCTAGAAAGGGCTCCCAGTGTCGGCCACTTTGAATCTTCCCTCTTCCGAATCGTGTGACTTTGGCCAGTCGGAGCCTACTCAAGAGTTCCAGGCACCTCAGGAATGGGACCCCCATCGACCATACTCACACCTACACTGCTGCATTTTACTGCTTTTAGTCTAACTGGAGAATTGTTTCTTACATGAAACTGCTAGCTGGCCAAGGCTTTGCCATGCGAACACAGCTAGATGGACGTTGCTTGATTTCACTATTGAGATAAAGTAACACTTAATCTCCCACTTCTTTGTAGGGTCAGACCCAGTGGCCTAAGTTGTAGTCAGTTTCACCATGAAGGGCTGGTTCCCCCCAACCCCTATGCTCAGCCCCTGGAGGGAGGATCCACACTTGTAATTACCCAGAAAGCAATGCTCTTTGGTTAACTTATTAGCATTGGCTCAGGCTCCCTTTGGACCTCATCATTCTCTCGCCATCAGAAGGTTGGTGACTGATGTAGGATGTGGAAAATCCCCAGGGAGGAGGGGGAAGGAGCAAGAGAACAGTGCTACAACCATCACAAAAGCTTTTTCTTTTGTTTCAAGTCAGCCCCCTCCCCTCCTCTCCCCTAGCTGCATGAGGCTGTTGGAAGACCATGGCCAGAGCTACGAAAACATAAGACACTTGAACATCCATTCTTGGCACAGGGCCCTGTTAAGGAAGTAGTTCCATAGAGCCAGAGACTACCAGAAACATACACCACTGACCCAAACTAACCACACACTCCTCTTAATTAGAGCAGCTCAAATGCTTCTGTTTCTCTACAGGAGAAAGACACTGCACTTGTTTCTTTGTAGGAGAAGAGGAAATGGCTGTTTACTTGAACTAACCAGCACAACTGCCAAAGACTCTAGAACTTCACCTGACCTGTCATGAGAATCCACTCAATGCAACAGAGTCTACCAAGTATCAGAGGGGTAGCCGTGTTAGTCTGAATCTGTAAAAAGCAACAGAGGGTCCTGTGGCACCTTTAAGACTAACAGAAGTATTGGGAGCATAAGCTTTCGTGGGTGAGCACCTCACTTCTTCAGATGCAAGTAATGGAAATTTCAGAGGCAGGTATAAATCAGTGTGGAGATAACGAGGTTAGTTCAATCAAGGAGGGTGAGGTGCTCTGCTACCAGTTGAGGTGTGAACACCAAGGGAGGAGAAACTGCTTCTGTAGTTGGATAGCCATTCACAGTCTTTGTTTAATCCTGATCTGATGGTGTCAAATTTGCAAATGAACTGGAGCTCTGCAGTTTCTCTTTGGAGTCTGGTCCTGAAGTTTTTTTGCTGTAAGATGGCTACCTTTACATCTGCTATTGTGTGGCCAGGGAGGTCGAAGTGTTCTCCTACAGGTTTTGTATATTGCCATTCCTGATTCCAGTACTTGCATCTGAAGAAGTGAGGTTCTTACCCACGAAAGCTTATGCTCCCAATACTTCTGTTAGTCTCAAAGGTGCCACAGGACCCTCTGTTGCTTTTTACAGATTCTACCAAGTTGCTGCCAGACCATTTGACTCTAATCACACAAACATTAAACTAGGTTTAGTTCAGACTTCAGTAGAAACCGGTAATTACAGTCAGAAAACTGTATGTACAGGACATCAATGTCCTAGACCTAGTCAGTGGCGAAACCTACTCCCATGGGGAACGGCTTGGTGCCACCAGGACTCCTGTTCTTTTTGCGGCTACAGACTAACACGGCTGCTACTCCGAAACCTTAGCTAACAACAGTCCTCCATGCGCAGCGGGTCGCTGGTTTTCCACGTCCATGGGCCTTATGCTCCCAATCCCCGGCGGGGGGACCCACAACTGACACGTGGCCCAAGTAGTTCTTGCGGCAACATCACAAACCAAAAGCGGGGCGAAGCGCAGGCGCCGGCACTCAGCTCGTCGAAGCGAGACGCGGCTCAGCAGCGCGTGGGGCGCCCTTCGTTTCCGTTTACACCTCAGCCGCCTCCGGAGCGGCTCCGGAGCGGCTCCGGCCGCTCGCTCGAGCTCAGCCGCTGCGGGCCCCGCTCTCCGAGC